GGACATTGTTTCGTTCTGCTGTGCATGGGGTTGCTATGAGTCGGTTCCGACTCGATGGCACCTGACAACAATAGCAACATTGCTAACTGATGGTATATGGAAGGAATTGTAATCATTGCAATGATTTGTTGAATGTAAAACTGATGATCTACCCTGTAAACCTTCACTCAATTCACAAAAAAGAAAAAAACTGTAATAGCAAGTAAAATATCACAAATCCATTCTAAATTTACACTAAATCCCAGCTCCGCACCAGATGCTTCTTAAAAATTCACATCTTCCAGATGTTCAGTGAAGGGCTCGACAAAATATTAAATCTCTGGCTTGCAGAATGTGCTCTTTGGACATTTAAATGAATATATATTTTGGGGGTTTGTTGTTTTGTTTTGTATGTGTGCATCAAATGTTGCTTTGCTCATTTGTGAAATATAAGATATAAATGGAGAAATCACAGGGAGGATGTAGGATATTAACTGTTGTTGCATGGAGGGGATTGTAATCATTGAGGTGAAACAAGGAGGATGATTCGTTGAATGTAAAGCTAATGATCTTGTCTGTAAATCTTCACTCAAGTCACAAAAAGTTAGAAAAAAAATTAAATGTCTGGATTGCATTGGCTCAATATTTCCTATTAGGGTTAGGGCTAAAGGCTACATTTGTTATGAAGTCCCAAATTTTTTCTAAGGTAAGAAAAATTGAATTTTCTCAGCTAGAGAGTAAGTACAATAGCAGGCATCATCGCTTTTATGGCTTATGTTTCCCTCCAGGAAACATAAGTATGAGACCTTTCCCATAACAAACACTAGCAGATCTATTGACAGACACTCAAAGAGAAACACAGGAATTCCTCCAGCAGCCAGAGTCATTTTCACACTAAAACTCTAGTTCATTGTGTTTCATGAAAGCCATTGTCTTACCATTCTAATGGAAATTAGTTCAGACTCACCACAGCTTCTGCAGATTACAGGAAAAATGCCTCAGTCCTACACACAAGAGTCTGACTCCAGAGTCTCCCAGGGCATTGTCACTCAGATCCAGTTCTACCAGCTTTTGGTTGCTGCTCAGGACTGAGGAGATATCCAGGCAACAGTGATGGGAAAGTCCACACCGCCCCAACCTTCACACAAAGACAGATAGAATCAGAACATGATCTTCTTCTCTGCAACTGCCTGATTTCAGCACTAGTACACTTATTCTGCCAAGTTGCAAAGTGAAAATTATAACACAATTTTCATTGGCATATAATGTTACCAAAAGAATTCCTGAATATAACCCAAGACACTCTGGAAAGGTAAACTCTCGGGCTCACTAGTTCACAACCTGAGATCACAACTAGTAAGCATCAGCCAGTGAGTTCTCATCAATAAATGTTGTTGTTGTTGTTAAGTGCCATTGAGTCGATTCTGACTCATAGCGACCCTGTATAGGGTTTCCAAGGAGCAGCTGGTGAGTTTGAACCACCGACCTTGCATTTCAAATGGCTTTGCAGTCTGGCACATTAACCCACAGCATCACATCAGAACTCTTCAGTAAATAATGCCAGTCAAATTTAGTGAACTCTCAAATGGATAAATGGCATGTTCCTGTTTTGTAAGTAAAAAGGGTGGTAAACCTGTGGGTTCCCCCTCCTTTTCAAATGCACTCTCAATTCCTAGTGGAAACAGTTGAAGCTCCCTCAACTGGATTCTGTTCTCTCTAGGGTCGTACCCATCATCCTTTTCCCTTCACCAACTTTGTACTCCAAGGCTCTGTTTGATGATTTAATCCTAGCCCTATGTCTGAAAGAACAAGAAACTTTTATTCTAGATAATGAAGTTCTTTGATTTCCATTGCATGACTAATAAGGAATCAAAAGCCATGGCTTTTTTTGTACAAGAAAGGACTTCTTTTTAGTTCGCATTCATCTTTCCATATCTAAAACTTTCCAAACCACTGTGTCTTTCTGCTGACCATGTCCCTAAGACTTTTCTGCAGTCCTTCTTCACTCACTCATGCACACATGCACACATAGAGACTTACCACAATCTCCGAATGTTACAGCCTGAATGCTGGAAAGTTTCACACAGCACTTTCACTCCAGGGTCCCCCAAAGTATTGTCACTGAGGTCCAATTCAGTAAGACTGGGGTTAGTGCTCAGAACTGAGAATAGATCCCTGCAGAAACTAGAAGTGAGGCGGCATTCCATTAGACTAGAAGATGGGAAAAGAGATGGAAGAAAAACATCAGTCTCTTACAATATCAAATTGAAGCTAGGAGCCAGGATGTACTGACACCAATTCAGAAAAAAAGGCACCCAGGGATTAAGAAATGGATCACAGAACTAATATCACTCATTTAAAAGTGGAAAGGGTCTAAGGGAGCCGTAGCAAAAGCAATACCCCATGATTTGTGTTACAAAGAAAGCGAGCCTATGACTGCCCGATTGTGAGTGCCTTCTGCTTCCACCAGTTTTCTACTTCTCCCATGTTCATCTGTCCGATGTCCTAGAGGATGTGGGCCTAGAGACACCATTGCTATGCATTCCAGAAGGTTTTTCACAACAAAGGGTACTTTCAAAAATAGCAAGACATAGCTTCAGCCCAAAGGAATAAAATTGCTAAACTCCCAGCTAATTCTATTGTTCAACCATGTTTGAATTGCTGATATTGCTAATGGCAGTTATGAAAATGCAGATTGTGACTCAGAAGGTCTAGAACCAGGCCTGATATTCTATACTTCAAACAAGCTCCATTAAGATTGGTGGCTCAGGTCCATCAGCCACTCCATGAAATAAAGCTGAGGCTTTTTGCTCCTGTAAAGGTTTACAGCCTCAAAAACCTTTACGTTGTCACTATGAGTCAGAACCTACTCAGTGGCACTTAACAACACCAACAAGCACCCAAGCTTTTCCTTGCAAGGTTCTAGAACATACAAAGGCAAGTGTCTACCCTCAGTAAAAGGTAGCTGTCATCAAGAGAAAGGAGCACTGTGCCATAACAAAAGCTATGCATATGAATTCCTGAGGCTTTGTCATTGCTGAATGACCTTGACCAGCTTTGCAGTTGTCTCTGCCTCTTTTAAGTTCCTTCATGAGCACATCTGCTTCCTTTCTCTCATCTTTTCTTTTTCCTCTTCCTAGACCTCTAACTTCCCTTTCATTTCTCTCTCCCTTTCTCTTTCTCCTGCCTTCTATCTAGCCATTCTAAACTCTACATCATTAAAAAAAGATCCCTTCTCTCCTACCTTCTGTCCTCTGAACCACTATTCCCTCTACCTGGGTTGTCCCTTCCCCACACTCACCCCCTATCCCTCAGAATTGGGCTGAAGTGTGATTCCTTGAGACACCTTCCCAAATTTCCTCAACTAGTTCAATGTACCTCTTGTGTACCTCTAGTGCTCTCTGTGAATGCCTTTAACATTGCACATAAGCCCCTACCCTCTTCACTTGTTTCCCAGCTATCTCTACAACCAGTCCTGAAACTCGTATGGGCAGAACCTGTGTCTCAAACATTGCAACAGTCCCAGTGGGAGGTCCCTGATGACTGAATGATAAATAAAAAGTAGCCATTCTGGTAATGGTGTCAGAACCCACTTGGCACCTAACAACAACAATTTATCCAACTACCCTCGGAGGTAAAGGATAAGCACTGGACCGTAACCCCAAGGTTGGTGTTCAAGTCCACCAGCTGCTTCTTGGAAATCCTATATTGGGTTGCTATGACTTGGAACCAACTCAACAGGACTTAACAATAACAACCATTTCTCCACTAGTGGATTTGAGAAAATGGTATAAATAGGTATGTGGTAATAGCATTATTAGCTAGTAGCAGTAATTGCCTAGAGTCACTAGGTAATTGCTTCATGATACATATGGCTTATGTGCTTAGCTGCTAACTGAAAGTCCATCCAGAGACTCTTTGAAAGAAAGGCCTAGTGATCGACTTGTGCAAAATCAGCCATTGAAAACACTATGGAACACAGTTCTAGTCTGGCACACATGAGGTCTCTATGAGTAGTGGTCAACTAGATAGAAACTGGTTTATTGGTTTTCCTGGCAATCACATTTGAAAAACAGTGAGGAGAGGGAAAAGGGAGCAAGTGACAAGAAAAAAGTTGAATTTCCTTACTAGTAAGAACAGGCTGTTTGTGAATCTTGTGAGACACAGTTGATCACATGAAGGTGTCCACGACCTTCCTCCTCCTCCTCTTCTTCTTCCTCCTTGGGCAAGTTATGAAAAAAACCCAGGGAAAGTGATTCTACACGATGACAGTTCTCAATGCAAAAAGAAGAAACCACATGATCCATCCTAGAGGAGAGGTTGATCTCAATTTTGGGGAAATGGTCCATGGCCCTTCGAACAAAGTCTTCCTCCTGCATCTCATATAAGCAATAGAACAATTCCAACTGACTGGGCTGTACCTGCAGCTTTTTAGCCTTAGCTTTAGCTTCTATCCATTTGAGCAACTCTTGCCTGATTTGCTGTGAGACTTTGCAACTTAATTTTTTTTCCAGGTAAGAGGTTCTCTCCTGGTTTACAAGGCCAAAAAGAAAACGAACAACAAAAATCAGATACCCCTTTTCAAATTTGCCATAATTTTCTAGAAGAACTGTCACATCTCGGTTGGGAAGCTTCAAACAACCCTGTGGTATGCTAGTTTCCCTCTCTTCCTCCTCTTCCAGCAGGTAGTACATTGCAGCAAAAAACTCCTGGAAAGTCAAGTGGATGAAGCTATAGAACTTCTCACAGTCCACTTCCTTCTGAAAAATGTTCATTCTCAAAAAAGCTGACACATCAGCCTTTTGCAGGCCATGATTCCTAAGATCATATTCCTCAAAGAGGATTTTCTGGTTCCACATTCCATCAGCAGCTAAAGAGCAAAGCCCCCGGAGGTTGGCAGAGAGGTGATGCTCCTGGATTCCTCCTTTGGGCTGCAACAAACATGAGAGAAAAAAGATGTACACAGCAGTGGTGGTCTTGGATGTCTGTGCAAGGGATTTGCCACTCTCCATCTGCTGCTTCAGCCCAGTGCACACAATCCAGCAAACAAGGGGCATAAAACACATAGTGAAGAGAATCTCATTTTCCTGAATTAACCTAAAGGCTTCCCTAGCTTGGCACTCATCTGAGAAATACTTAAAGAAATATGCCTTCCTCTTGGCTTCTGAGAAACCCAGGATCTCCACATGACGCGGATGGTCCAATAAGTGTTGGAGTTTCTCTAGGGCTACAGGTCGTGTGGTGATGAGTAGGGAGGCCTTAGGAAGCAACTTCTTTCTGATGAGGCTACTCAGGAGAATGTCTCCCCGCTCTGCCTTTTGCCAGTCTGTGCAGAGTGTCCCCGTGTGCTCATCAAAAGCACCTTGCAGCTCATCAAAGCCGTCCATGAGAAACAGGATCTTGGATGGCTTGCTCACTATCTTAGATATGGGAGGGTTTGGGTCAGGACAGCAGCTAATGATCAGGTCTCCCAGACTTCTCCATGTCATGAGATTTACCTCTCGACAATGGATGTAGAATAAAAAGTCAAATTTGTCTTTGTAAAGTTTTCCTGATGCCCAGTCCAACATAATCTTCCTGGCCAATATTGTCTTCCCAATGCCAGCTGCTCCCTGGAACACCACTGTGTGTATAGGATCTGCATTTTCATCATCAGAATCAAACAAGAGTTCTATTTTGATGGAATTCATGGAGCTGTCCTTGGTCTTAGCTGCAGTTTGACCAATGGCCAGAAGCTCCTGTTCCCTCTCCTTCTGGCTGGGGTGTTCCTTGATGAGACGTAGTGGAGTGTACCGTTTGTTTAGGTTTGCACGCTCACCAATACGTGCATTTCTGTCTTCAATATGCTGGAATCTACTTCTTACATATTTTCTGTATGTCCTACAGTAATCTAAGGCAAAAATAGAAAGTTAGACTTTGGGGAAAGTCCCTTACGCATCCACTTAAGATGACTACTCACAGATGCCTACCATCAATAGTAAGGGGCAACTGGAACTGAGAAATACAATAAGCATCTCTCTGCTGTTTATGTATGGAATGCTCTAGAAAATCTGGTGTCAAATTCTTCTTATACGCAATTAAGTAGAAAAGCAGAAAACCAACCAGAAGATTCTTTTTTAAATCTTATTTCCTTACATAGTCTTCCGCCTCGTCCTGTTAAAACCGTAAACACTTAATCACCCACTTCCCCTTGTGTGTGACACCCACTTCCCCTTCTGTGACTACAAAAAAACATGCAAACATAAATTCTCTGAAACAGGAATAGTGTGCATACCAAGAAACATGAGGGATTGGGTGCAGAAGCGTGAAGGAGAGTCAAAACAAGCAGCTTCCCAGTGCCTCCTGAACAGGGTCTCAAAACCCAATTGGAAGCATGTCCCCATCTCTTACCTTTCTTTTTTTTACAAAAAGAGATCCTGGAAAGAAACCCCAGTAAACCCATCCACTCCTCTTCAATGCTATCTTCTTGATATGTCACAGTCTGATTAGGATTATGTGCATTATCTGAACATGAAAGTAAAAAAAATACAGAATCAAAACTTGGCACTCCTCAGTCACACATTACTCTTGAGTTGATTCTGACTCATAGCAACCCTGCCTGAAACAGAGTGTCACTGCTTTCTCCCATAGAGGAGCAGGTGAGTTTAGAACCACCAGTCTTTTGATTAATAGCTAAGTGTTGAACCACTACTCCACCAGGGTTTCTTTGTGCTAATAGAATGTAAGTGGAATACCACCTAGGACCTTCACAGATTAAAGGTACCTGCCCTGGACATCTCTCAAATGGAAAATTTGGCTTCAGAGTTGCAGATGACAAGTGTGCAGAAGAACATCCAAAAATGTCAGATTACCCAATAAACAAAGTTACCCTGAACTAACTTGTGCTTACTCACAATTTTACTTTTTTTTTTTAACCATATCACAAATTCTGCTTCCAATTATGGCTGGTATCTGTCTCTCTTTAAACCCCATAGCACCTTCCTACAGAATCAAAGTCTCTTTTCAAATTTACAATGCTGGCAGGGTGGGAGTACCCAGTAAGCAAAGTAAGGCTTACTTGTGATTACTTACTAATCTGTAGGGAATTGTTTCACATGTTTCTCACCACATCTTTGATAAAACTCATATGAAGTACTTACCTTGCTTATTGAGAAATCCACCCCTGACATCCAGTTGGAGGCATTCCTAATTTCAAAACAGTCCTGGCATGGTGCTATAGGTTAATCACTGGGCTGCTAACCAGAAGGTCAGCAGTTCAAACCCACCAGTTGTTCCTCGGAAACTCTATACAGGTTCACTGAGTCAGAACAAACTCAATGACACTCAACAGCAACAACTGTGGCCCACCTGCTGAGCATACTGTCCACCATCAGAGCCAATATTATAATCTCTTTCCCAGGTCTGGAAATCAACCAATGTATGAGGCAGATAATGCTTCTGGTACTCACAGCCTAAGTACCCTGACTTTGAGGCCATTCTCAAGCCCTGTAATGTCACCAACAAACTGTAATCCATTTTACTCATATCTTGTGCCTTCAGATAAACATTTCTAAGAATTCTAGAATTCAAGAGTAAGAATTACCTATCTGTGTATTATCTAATTCCCTGGTGCAGAATTCTGTCTGACTTTAGATTTACCTGGGAGGTTTTAAAGAATAGATTCCAGGATTCTAGCCTCAGTAATTATTTTTCAATTAGTCCCAAGTGGAGCCCACACACATTTTTTGTTTTGTTTTATATTTTTAATGGCTCCCAGGTGATTCTTATGGGGATTTAGGACTGAGTCACTAAATAATAATTATAGTTAATATTAGTGTATTAAATGAGGCTCTCCTGTAGGAGAAAGTTACTCATGGTAGGTTAAGTCCTTTTGTTGTTGTTGTTAAGTGCCATCAAGTCAGTTCAAGTTCTAAGAAAAGAAAAAATATATGGGACCCATCATAGGGCGGAGACCTGGTGTGGCGCTGTGGGTTAATGTGCCAGACTGCAAAGCCATTTGAACTGCAAGGCTGGTGGTTCAAGCTCACCAGCTGCTCCTCGGAAACCTTATACAGGGTCACTATGGGTTGGAATTGACTCAACAGCACTTCATATCAACAACATCATCATAGGGCAGGGACCTAAAAGTTATATAAAAAATTCCTGGTAGGTGCCACTATTCTCTATCCAAATTCTATTAGTAACAAAGCATAATTCAAACAGTATTTCAATCCCAAACCAAAATTTTACTTTTACTGAAGCCTAAACCAAGCCCAGAAGAAAAAAAACAAAAGTCTAACTCTAGTTATATACTTCTTCCACCTCAAAACCGAGAGATGGAAGCTCTGGGGTTTATGTTAACTTTACCCAAAGAATTTGGTCTATGTCCTTGGTTCCTGAGTTAATTTTAAAATCATTAAAATTTCCTGAGTAATGGAGGTGAGTTTTTAATTCATAGTTTATGTTAATGAGGTGACTCAAATGGAGGTTGGCAAGGCCAGAAAGACCACCTCACAATATCAGCTGACCTCAGAGGAAGGTGATTCAATCAACCATGCCTACACAATGAAGATCCAATACCCTGGACACAGAACACAAATCCCCCTGGGTTTTCTGGTTAGAGAAAGACCCTTTGGGGGGATATTAAAGCTCTACATTGGGAACCCTCTCAGACTTCACCATAAATGTAATCATAGGCATAGTGCTTTCTGTGCATTCTGTAAGTCATTCCAGTGAATTGTGAAACCTGAGAGAGTAGGAAGAAGCATCAAGTCAGAAGTGAGGGGAACAGGGAA